GTTTAGAGAAACTTGTACCTCGCTATAAAGTTCTTGCGGGGAAAAGGTAACGTCATATTCTATGACGTGAACATTAAGTGTATGTTGCGTCACAGTTCAGTAAGTTGTAAAGAGTTAACTAAATTAAAGTTTTCTAGCATTTTTTAAAAAAATATCTAGGCCTATTTAATAAATTAATGCTATTAAAATATGTACTCAAAGTTTGCATTAGCACTATTAAAAAACAAACAAAAACAAACTTGTCATTTCAGTAAGATATTCAGAGGGACGTGCTGTACTGGATTTAATTTTTCTTAATTAAAAAAGCTAATACCATGCTTAAAAAGAGCACTCCATGCTATTTTTTACCGCCCTCAAATAAATTCTGATAATTTATTAAATGACCATGAAATAAAATTATTCTACCATTCTTCTGTCACATAAATAATGTGAACGATTATTGGGGGATTTATTTATGAATTAGTTTTTAATTTGTAAACAAGTTATTTAAAGAGTACATTTATTTAAAAAATAAACATTTGAAAATATCGGGAATTGGGACTTATTTCTTATTTGTTTTGTTTGTGTTTACCTGCCCGATTAATAAAAAGCAATACAAAATGGTATAAAATGGTGTAAACCCCTGAGGTTTCAATCGCCTTGGGGAATAATTAGCAGAAAGTCAATGCATGTTACTAGAGTATCAGTGTTACATATCACTGAACGCGCTGGTCAACAATGACAATAATTTCAATCTATGTACTTCAAAAAATCTTTTGTTTCAATAATTGTGTATAAATTTTTTTCGGGATTAATTAATTTTGAATACAATCTGAGGGTTCCATTCGCTTGACTTACAGATTTACACTCGAAAATTTATGAAATAAAATATTTAAAACTGAGAATCTAACGATAATTAAATTGGCAAGTCATTGAAAATAACCATGACTGAAATATAATACTCGGCAAAATTTATCAAAGAATTTTTTCAAAAGCTCCAATACTTAGTAAAATGCATTCAGAGTATAGTATGGAAACTGGCCTTGCTCTATAATTATAAGATCTATTTAAAGCGAATTCTGGTAGAAAATAAACAATTCAAATTTAATTTTAATTTTCTATAAAAAAAATATAAATACAAAAACCAATATCAATCACACAAAATAAAGACATTGATTTATTTTGGTGAAACATTAATATACCAAATAATTGTGTTTAAATATTCATGTTATGAATGGGCGTGAATGCCTTCTTCGTTCAATAATTATTATTTATTTCTATACACGTACTGTAATTTTCTTAACAGTTCAGAAATGACTGTCGTGTAAGAATTGATTGTAAATATTTGTTGATACTACTCAGAAAGAAATGATCATCAATTACAACTGCTTTTTATAGTTACATTGTTTATTGGTAATCTCATTTCTGAGTAAGCTCCGCCAATTTCTAATTAACCCCGCCCACTGGGACTGCTTTCTGGGACTGCTGGGACCGCTATGGGACTTTTCTGGGACCGCTGTGGGACTGCTCTGGGACCGCTGTGGGACTGCTTTAGCAGTCCCAGAAAGCAGTCCCCGGGACTGCTCTGGGACTGCTTTGTGTCAGGTTGGGTCTGGTTGGTACTGAAACAACAAAATTAATATTCACCCTTCCATCCCTCCTTTTTTTTTAAATGGTCATGACTTGATGCTTACACACTGTGACACATACATATTGAAAGGACAACAAACCCTTTTATTTTTTTTTTACTTTATGAATACATGCATCATAGCTATAACTGGACTTATATCTTTATGTTTTGAGTTTCAAAGCATTTAATCAATAAATATAAATGCTACAGCTATTTAAATTGTATCAGTCATTTCAATCATTGCACGCACCCGGACGTGCCTGCATGTGCGTGCAAAATGACCCTCGTTCATCACATCTATTCAACACTACCGTTCACGGTAGCTCAGTCGGTAAAGCGCTCGCTCCGTGACCGGAAAGTCGTGAGTTCGAATCTCGGCTGCGACTGACATAAGTGGATAAAAAAAATGGGTAGCAACTGTTCCTTCGCCAAGCGCTCGGCACTTTGAAGTGAAAGTTGCGAATCCTTCGGATGAGACCTTAAAAACCGAGGTCTCGTGTCAAGGTAGGCTTTGGCACGACAAAGATCCCTCACAGCTCAATGGCCCTGAGTGCCGAGTAAAGGTCAAAATTTGAAGTCCTTCACCGGTATATGGTGACGTCTCTATATGAGTGAAAAATTATCGAATGGGACGTTAAACAGCATACAATCAATCTATACAACACTGTCGGACAAAAAAAGTACCGGAAAAGAAATTTAAAAAAAAAAAGAAGTAAAAATCCGTTTGGGAAACATCAAAAGAAACAAGATATGTTTGTGAAACATTGATACCCCCTACGACAGCCCGGGGGAGGATTAAAGTTTCTCAAGGGCAAATATATCTTATTTTAAGTTGCCAAATTCGCGACCATTTTAAGTTGACTTGGCAATCGTAAAATTACTGATCTATAAGCTTAGAACAAACACTATTAATATATATACCTAAACACAGGCTCGTAGAACGGGGGGGGGGGGGGGGGGGAGCTACTTTTTTTTTCTGAGAATAGTATTTTGCTATAGATGGATGTTCTGATGGATATAAGGGGACACGCTGTGAAAAAGGTAGGATATTGTTAACTGTTAACAATAAAATGCTTTCTTTGGTTGTTAGTACGGGAATTAATGTTGCAGCTGTTGCAGAAAATATGTAATTTTTTTGTCTCCAATAGCTGCAACGTTAATTCCCAAACTAACAAACAAAGAATATATTGTTTATATTTATATATGTGCAAATATTCATACAAAATAGGATTTCGTAGACGAAATAGTGTATTAATATGCACGTCATTGTATGTTTCATTGATGGAATTTTCCATTAGATGCTGGTTGCCCCACTTTTTTTGATGTTGTTAGTTGAGCATTGGCATATACAGAGATTTGTACGGTAAATTAGTATTTTTTTTGCCTGCATGTCAGATAATTTTGGGAAAATGCCCCCCTCCCACTTTTGGTCGCATTAGTTTTTTTTTTTTTTTTGGGGGGGGGGGATCTCCACAATTCTAAGATGAGTACAATCTCATCCATTGTTCTTTGAAACATTAATGATTTGATTTTTTTCATTAAAGGTAATATTGATAATTTCCAACCTTTCCAACTATATGTGTACTCTCCAACGCACCGTACGCGAATCAAAAAAAAATTATCGGAGGGGGGGGGGGGGAGAGAGACAAGGGATATTTGTGTTTACCAGAGCGAGGTCCATTTTCGATAATCTTACAATGTTAAGATTTTTGATCATGGACGCCGGCCCCACACTAGCTAGATAAGCACATGCCGAGAACTACATTGCTTGCAAAGATGCAGATGCTGGTATTATATTCAATGCGCAGTTCCATTGCAGATAAATACCTTGAAGAAACTATGTTCAATAGTGTTTTTAATATATAACATGAGCTACAAATATTATTGCAGTAAAATTCAATCAAATATATGTAGGAAAACTAAATGGTGACTCACTGATGACAAGGTATATTTCACTTTAATTTGTTACGTGCATAACAATGAACGAACATTGTTTTGTATTTTCGTCGGAAATTTTCCATGAATTAATTCTGTAAGAAAACCTTTCAATCAGGTCAGTCTTTTTCCTGTGCGTCAATTCCTTTTTTTTTAACCGAGGAACCGTCCAAGTGGTGTAGCGCGACGCCATCGTTTACACTGCATTCAAACAAACAGCTAACCACCAATAGAAATCAAGCGTCTCGCGGTGATTGTTTACCATTTTTGAAAGAAGCTTATTTGGATTTGGGCGATATTCGGTCGGTGTTTGTTAAACTCAAATGCCTCAAGAGTCGAGAGAGCCATTTCATTTAAACATAATGAACTAAAGGCTGAGCTGCCAACCCGTACAATTTTGGCGTACCTTTTAAGCATCTAAAATACGTTTTACGATTTATTTATTTATCGTTACAATTTCCCTTTGTTGTTGTGATCGGAAGGTCATGTGTTCGAATCACATAGGTAGCAACTGTTCCTTCGCCAAGAGCTCGGCACTTTAAAGTGAAAGTTGTTGGTCTTTTGGGTGAAACCATAAGAACCCAGGTCCCGTGTCATGGTGGGCGTGGGCATGATAAAGAACACTCAATGCAAAGTGGCTCTTAGTGCTGAGTAAAGGTCTAATTTTGAAGCCCTTCACCGGTATATGGTGACGTCTTTCTCTGAGAGTACGGGACGTTAATCAACATTCAATCAATCCCTTTGCTGTACGTCGAAAGTTTGAAATACCGATACTCCTTCAGTTTTCACTACTAAAGTAAAATGCCATAGTCCTTTCAGCGCTTGCTTGTATTGATATTGTCCGTTTCTTTGCTAATTGCGAACTAAGTCATTTAAACCTGAACAAAATAGAAAAGTATCCATGCAGCCCCATCGGTCCCTGGACTTATCTTACGATATTTAATTTTGTATCTGTCAGTCTAAGAAAATTGGCCTCTGTATATGTGCTTGGATTGATTGATTGTTCTCCAGTGCATTTTGCAGTTTGAGAAAGGAGCTCCCTTAAAATTTTTACTGGTATTTGATGTAATGGACCTGTACGATTTGTTTTTAATCGTATTAAACAAAATTTGCACCTTTTAAGGAGTGTCAAGATATAAATCATAAATTTGAAACTACATTGTAATAAACGTTTTTTCAAAGTTATAGAGATTTGACTTTTCTGATTGGTTGTCTATAATCAACAAATAAGATTTGAAACAATGTCAAGGCTTGTTTCTGAAATGGAATAATGAATATGAGTACATGTGACAGAAAGACAAACAGACAGAAGCAAAATCAGCACGTCTTTGTTGAGCGAAGCATTAAAATTATTTATGGATCTCAAATTCATGTTTACATATTATGTAGATGTTAATGTGCCAAACTGCTTACCATATATATTTGTTAACGAAATGATTGCATATCAACACGTAGTTACTGTAGTTCTTTTTGGAATAGTTCTGATTCTTCATGAAGAAATTCGTGAAATAAAGAATGCTTTGGAGACAACAAGAAACAATTTTCAGTCCATTCTTGAAAGCAATACATATTTTGGATCATTACTTTCAGTTCAGACAACAAAGGGCCTATTCATTCACGACTGGAAAACAAGGCTGCATAAAGGTACACATATGTTTAAAAGATTTCCTTAATGTTTCATTGTTTGAATTAGGTTTTCAAACCAGCACAGATTGTTCTGTTATGCTTAGGAACATTTTTTTCTGTGATAAGGACTGAATATCGGAATTTGTCATCCATATTCATGATATTTCAGTCACATTTTGTGTTTAGTAGTGTAGGCTTCATAACATCACCTAATAGATATTTAAAAAAAAAAAAAAAAAAAACAAAACTTTGAATACAGTCTATGTATTGCAACATTACGTGTTTTATTTTCCTTTAGATTTTCAATCGTGCAGAAAATTATTTAGTATTACTAATCCTGAACCAAGCACCGCAAATTTAAAATCCAGAAACGATACGGTCCTAGTCAAGGTTAAGTTTGCTATAGCTATAAACTACACGTAACAATATTCGACTATTTTTCATAAACCAATGGGTTATATTGTGGACATCTATTTGCACAAAACTACATGCAATAAGAAAATTCATTGAAATAAAAAAAAAAAGAAGCTAATTCAGAGACTTTGTGTCCCCCGCTTAGGGAGAACAGAAGAGCAGCATGCGCAGTTCTGGGGGGTCAGACCCCCCCCCCCCGGATTTGTAGAATTATGAAATGTATACATGTATATTGAAGCAAATGAAAAATGCCAATATGGATATAAAGATTTGATTGCTTATTCTTTAATATGTGTATAGAAGATTCTTCTTAATAGATAGAATATTTATCACGTAATAATGATTTGATGAGTTTGTAAGCCAGACGTCATGGTGGGACTTCATTTGTCAAACCGGCGTACGCCGAATGCGCCGTTTGACCTTTGATAACCCGGCTTGTTACTTCATTTGACTGTGGAAGGTTCGCCGGCGAACGCCGATTTCGCCGGTCTTAGAAATATGGCGGGAAGATAAAACAACTGTTAACATGCAGATACTTTTCATCAACTCGGCATGTTCTTTAATTGTTTGCATTTCTTGAACAAATCTCCATTCATATATTTAAAATCCGTTGTTATTTTCGAAATTAAAACATTTCATGAGGTCCATTATTTTTTTTTTTACATTGAATTTTAAATAACTCAACCTTTTTTCGCCAAGACATAATGTAAAAAGTGATAGATCATAATTAATTGATTATTATTTCGTATAATTATTTTTTGTTTTCGCCGGTTTACTTCATTTGCCACTTAGCCGTTGTACGTCGGTCATATGACCGGCGCAATTCGGCGTACGCCGATCTGTAACAAATAAAGTCTGCCCTATAACTTTCTCATTTCACATGTTGAATAGTATCATTTAGTAAATCCCCCCCCCCCCCACACACACACAAAATAAGAAACATTGGATTGTCCGGGATTTGAACCCGGGCCTCTCGCTCGCTAATAAAGCATCATACCCCTAGACCACGGAGGCACTTGTTTATACAGCAAATTATTTCAAAAGAGTAGTGTCAAAAGTCAGTAATGATAATGTTGTAAGAGTTATGCTTCTTTGACTATGTAACAAGAAGTTGCTCTACTTATTTCCATAATATAAATTAACTCATATTGAGGTAAGTCTGATTAAATGCAAAAATTGGGTCATATATAATGTTTATATTCAAGTTCGATATTGTCAAAATTTTACACAATACATATTGTCTAATTTAGCCTTTGCTAAACAGTTCCAATAGATGTAATTAGAATATAAAGACGGCCGACAACCTGTATTATACGTAATAACTCTCCACATGCCCCTGTGCTAAAAATTGTGCCAAACAACTTTTGATATACAATAAATAAAAAAAAAAACGGGGCGGGACACTTTGAGAGGGGCGAGGGATGCCATAGGGAGTTATGGTAAATATTTCTTTGCAAAAGCTCAAAAGCTTTTTGAGATATCGCCCGGAAACGAAAGTGTTACACAGAGACGGAATTTGTGAAGTTACGACCTTGAACTTTGACCTTTTGACCTCAAAATCAAAAGAGGTCTTCCGTAGGCCACAGGGAGTTGTAATGTAAAATTTCATTGCAAAAGCTTTAAGAATTCGCGAGATATCGCGCTGAAACGAAAGTGTTAAAACAGACAGAATTTATGACCTTGACCTTTTGTAGGGTTCTTCTTTAGTCCATAGGGAGTTGCTATGCCAAATTTCATTGCCAATGCTCAAAGGGTTCTCGAGATATAGCGCGGAAAAGAAAGTGTTACAGACAGACGAACTGACAGACAGACCCAAATTAATATCCCCTACTTTCGGTTAAAGCGGGGGACAAAAAATCAGGGTTATAGAAAAATGAAAACAAACCTTTGTTTATGAATATAAAAACTGCAATTTTGAAGTATTTTAATTCAATTGTTTCACGCTGTTGGATATCGGGCGTTCATTGCTTTGTTAATTTCATTGCTCATCAACTTGTCTTAGTCTATGAAACTAAGATCATATTTATATTCCCGGTTATTGTTCAGAGACACTTTGAAGTTAAATGAGTAATATTTAAATATGCAAATACTTTCATCCGATGAAATAACTGAGGAGCAAATTTCTGTTTGAACTTATTAGGGGTCAGAAGTAAGAGCGAATCACACAGCGCGATGATATCAAGCCTATATTTGGTACTGTGGAACAGGCTATAGACCTTCAACTTAATAGAGAAAATAACAGAGAAAAAATAACTGAAACGTATAGATATTTATTTTTCAATTAACAGATGCCCATTTAATATTCATTTCGTTTGAAGAATGAAATTAAAGCATCAACAAGTCACCGAAAATATAACTAACCTTTTTAAAGCCTAAATACCTTTGAAGATTTTAAAACTTAAACAGATGATTCTAGCTTAGAAACCACCGCTTTGGATTCGAAATATGCATGTGTCAATGAGAAAAGAGTGCATATGGCGATTTTCAGAAAGGAGATGGATGAACAAGGCGCGCAGAATGCCTATAATTTCAGATACATAAAAATCATAATCAGTTTGTGAATTTAGTATTTAGAGAAAAGTTCTCCGTATTGAAATTTATTAAATTTTGATAAACAAAACTTTTCTGAGGAACATTTTCTTGACAAAAATTATTCTGTTATTAAAAAAAATTTTGGTATTCGTGTGGTTCGAACCCTAGCAATAAAAATCTTGAGTACCATTTTCCTTTGAGACTAAACGCTAACCATTACGCTACACAGCTCTTGCCGAATTGTGGCATTTAAATCATGTTTGTGAAATAACCCTTTACTAAATGGACTACAGGTATTTCTCGAAAAGATGCGAATGTTGTGTCATAAAAGTGTATATTAAGGTATAGTGGGTCTTTGCTTCATGTTTTGTTAACCAGAAAATTTGAAGATAAACTAAATTAAACTTTGAAAAATATGGAGTGAAGACCAACTCATATCGAAAAATTGTGTTTTAGTATGAGAAAATGATCCTTTTTGCCCTCTCTAATGTGGGTATGCTATTTTATAAGCAAATAATTTCAATCTTGGTGAGATTTTTGCAAATTGTGGAGATTTTACCTAAAGTATACCTTAATTTAAGATGAAATTTCAAAGAAAATTTTGTTATGATTGAGATTTAATTTTCACCTTCATGTTTGTTGCACTATAGGCACTGCACTCGCCTTGTTCGCCCATCTTCTTTGTAATTTTTTTTTTACAGATTTCGATAGTATATATATTGAAGCTTTCAAAAACCAAATTTTACGAACATATTCCATGGCATTATGACACTTAAGTTAACATTTTGTTTGAAATAAGACGTGAATTTTCTTACACTCACCCGGTCATAATAACTCAGGTTTGCAGTGACTTGACATCATATTCAATTATATGACATCATTTCAGGCATCTCAGAGAAGTGACTGTATAAGATGTAATGTTATTTTCTACGAGGAAATCAGTGTCCCATTAGTGTTCTATCAGTGTCCTTTATTACTTTATCGCTAACAAGACAGACATACATGTTTATTAGAATTTCCTTGATTTGTTTTGAAAATACCTTTCATTTTCCTGAAATATAATTATAAATTGAAAAAAATGCATTTATCATGCACTCTCCCTTGCCATCGGAGATCAATGTCTTTTTACATGTTCCTGTGGTCACACACTACCAGTAACATTACTCCTACAAGTAAGAGCTTCAGTTAACGTTCCTACGCTCCTTGTATACCTCGGACTCTTACATCCGAAGGCCATTTTCTAGCCAGCTCGTTCCGCCTGAAATTTTGGGCGGAACATATTATGCGTGAAATAATCTGTAAACAAGTAATTTTCAGGTACCTACGTGTTTGCATCAGGTATGAGGTATAAAAGTCACAAGAAATCATAAAATCTACTTCATTCCATATGCATCACTTTTCATTTTAATCAAAATCGTAATCATTTCAATCTGTCACCAGAAGTACTTTCGATTTGACTTCACTTTAATTTGCTAGTCAGAAAACGAAAATTCCTATTATTTAATTGCAGAAAACTAGTGATGTTTCGTCAGATTTCTGCATTCCATTTCTGAATGTTAAGGTAAGGTTTGCGATCACAGGGAGGTAACTCTTATGAATCACTTAAGCGTTTGAAACCGGCGAGATTTAAACCAGCGATACGTAGCATTCAATCACTTATGAATTCATTTCGTCTGTCATACATCATGACATGAACATGCTGGGAACAAAAAAGGATATTTCCAGTAGGAAATTGTACAACAATTTAAAGTGCAGGAATCTCAGATTAGTAAGACGTTTAGCGTGATGCACGATTGATGACACAATAAAAGAGGACAAGTACAATGTATGTTTATTTTCAGTAAGAAACTGCGCAAGGTGCAGTCAAGTCAGCAGGAGCAAAGAATCAGATGTATTGCTTCACTTAAACATGTTAAATGACATCACGAACGAAAGAAAGAATAGATGTTGGAGCATCCTTTTACACTCTGCATGGTGTTCGCAGTATGCACTCCGAACAGGGAGAAAAGTCAAGCAGCATTTGACAGTTTGATATAGTTGCATCAGGCAGGCAATTATTTAACTATTAATTT